ATTTTCCTTTGTTTGAAATATCTATTGGGTAGAGCACATTAGCATAAACAAGCAAAGTCAATGTTAAATGCAAGGAAGGAATGGAAAAGCAGATTCTTAGATTGTGAGTTTCATAGATTAATCCAAGATTAGCAAATATGCTTGTTTGTGGCAGACTGTATTTCCCAAAATGCCTGCAACATTACATGTCAGCCTATCCTGCTACTCCTCCATCAAGAGTTCTGTGTTCCTACCACTTGAATTTGAGATAGCATATACCAAGAGAGTATGGTAAAAGCTGCAGTATGTGCTTCCCAAGGCCAAGTCATAAAAATGCTATGCACTTCCTCCTTGTTCCCTTAGAACACCTGCTCTTAGAATCCAGTTAGTGTATCGTGAGGACTTCCAAGTAGCCTTATGTGAAGAGGAACAGAGGTCTTTGTCCACAGCCCTGGCTCACCTTCCAACCAACAGCCAGCACCAACCTGGCAACCCCCTAAGAGCCGCCTTGAAAGTAAAATCAAACTAGGTGAACTGCCCAGAGCTTAAGAGGGTGTCAGCCAATCCCGCCTAAGTTGGCTCCTCATGAGCAAAGTAAATGATTGTTGTTGTTCTAATCCACTAAGTTTTGGGGTGGCATTTGACAAAGCAATAGATAGCTAACAGAGTGTTTTTACTCATCAGCACCAACAGATGAGACCTTCCAGGCATTCCTGGGATAGGATGAGTTTAGAGGAAGAGAATACATGACTGCTGAGTGAGGTTGTACATCGGGCATAGTACTGAGTGCGGACATCACTGCTATTTGTCCGTCCTGTCAGATCCAGCACTCTCGCTTTATATTTGAATAAGAATAAGAATATTTGAATAAGAGACAGAGTGCAGGTGGGTTGTGATCTGCTGAAGATCACACAGATATTTCATACCAGAGCCAAAAACTCAGAACCAAGTCTTCTGATCTGCAGTTTAGTGTTCTTTTCACTCTGCCTGTCTCTTTCCAGTGACAGATTCCAGGGACCTGAGCCACAGGATATGGTGTAATAAATACATGCCAGGTGCTTCTCCTTACCCTTCTCATGCTTGTGACAGACATCGTTAGTTAAGTACAGTGCTCTCCTAAGGTCACTGATGAGCATGGAGATTATAGACCCAGATTGTCATTATAGAATCTGAGTAGAACAATGCAAGAGCTATAATTTATTTGTATCAGGAGTGTCAGAAGAATACAGCAAAGGCAATCTCAAAACATAAGCTATAAAATGGTTTAATATGGAAGTGCATTGTGCATGAGAAAAAGGAAAGTATTTAGACATAACCACTTGGGATCAAGGATGTCTGAAGTGACACATAAGCTTTTTACAGAATTGACTGAGGAATCACTTCCTACATCCTTGAGGAAATCTGTTGTAGATTCTATTAGACAATTTCCATTTTATATTTTAAAACTTATTTTGTGGGGTGCCTGGGTGGCTCAGTCAGTCGAGCATCCAACTCTTGATTTCAGCTCAGGTCATGATCTCAGGGGCATGGGATAGAGACCCACGTTGGACTGCATTCTCAGCAGGGAGTCTGCTTGGGATTCCCTCTCTCCCTTCTCCCCTGCCCCCACTCTAAAATACATAAATAAATCTTTAAAAAAAACAGCTTATTTTGTTGTTGGAAGAAAAGCTATTACTTTAGTTCTATAAAATGTATTATATATATAAAATTTGGCCTCATCCTGAATACAATAGACTTGGAATGCATACAACACATTCAATAGAGCAGTACTGGTGTATGGTACAATGTGATGGTTCTGTTCTTCTTAATGCACTTGTCATTCAGAGCAAAACAGGCTTAGAAAAAAAATATATGATTTCTAGGGTATAATTTGAAAGCAGAGGTTATAAAGCCAGGGCATTCCGAATTTTAGGGTATATCCCTGAGAACCAGATTCTCAGATACATTCAACACCGGACCGAGAACAGAGCTTCTCTGAACTTGATTGTAGGAGAAAACACCCTGCAGAAGCAACCGCAACCAAACTCCCAGAAAAATAATGATCACTCTCTCCCTTTCTCTGACTCTGAGTGGGGCATGGGAGTAGAGTTAGGTATGAAGGTTATTTGAGTAAACCAAAGTGGCCAAGTTCCTTCCTTAATTCATTTGTTCAAGTACCTACTGTGGGCAAGGTCTGCTGTTAAACACTACTTGGAACACAAGGATGAAACAGGGGTTTTATCTTCAAAAGTTCTTTAGTGCAGACCCCATCCTCCTCTTTTAATAGAGTAAGATGTCAGAACAAGAGCCTAATAAGTTAGAAATCTAAGTATCAGCTAGTGGCACCCAAACACAAGAACACTGGGTTTAAGCATTAGAAGCAGGATACATCCCTATAATTGTCTACACAAATCAGCAAGCTTCAAAATATTAACCCAACACTTTCCATCCCTCCCTCCCTCTCTCTCTCTCTTTTCGTTCTTTCTTTCCTTCTCTTCCCTGCCCCCCCCACTTTCTTTTAACGTGGATTACATTATCATTTGCAATATTACTAATTGCTGGATCATTTAGATGCATTACTATGCTCTTAGGAAATTATTTCTGGTAATGAAATTCTTTTCATCAGTTCGACTTTCAGATTTGCAATACAGGCTTGTCCTTTAACAAGTAAGTGTTCTTTTCAGAAAAATATGCGGCAGATGTGGCAAAACAGAAATATAATATTCTTGGAAGTGGGCTAGTTTGGATAACAATTAAACTTTCATATTTGGACTTTATTCTTCTAGTAATTTCTCTGTAGCAAATTTTCACCAAGGTCGAAGTCATCATTTTGTGCAATTTATTCTTAAATCTTCAAACAAAGGTCAGTAAATTCTTGTTCTATCTTTTCAGATTTTTGTAGTAAGGAGTTGATTTATATTTCCCTCATTCTTTTTTTTTTAATTTTATTTATTATTTGACAGAGAGAGATCACAAGTAGACAGAGAGGCAGGCAGAGAGAGAGAGAGAGGGAAGCAGGCTCCCTGCTGAGCAGAGAGCCCGATGCGGGACTCGATCCCAGGACCCTGAGATCATGACCTGAGCCGAAGGCAGTGGCTTAACCCACTGAGCCACCCAGGCGCCCTATTTCCCTCATTCTTTTCTGGAATAGAATATCTCAATAATTTCAACCAGGTTTTCCCAAATACTAGCAACTTGTGATTCAACAAATAAACTTAACCCGATTACTTCTCAAAGGCCTATAACTTCTGTTTAAGTTCCAGGGCACAAGGACAAGACAGAAAATATCTAAAGAAAGTGGGCTCTGAAGTCAGTCCAATATGGGTTCCATGTAAGCTCTGCCATTCCCTGTGTGACTTCAGGTAAATTAATCTCACTGTGTCTCGTTTTCCTTATTTATAAAATGGGGATAAAGTACACATTGTAAGGTCATCATGAGAACTAAGCACAATACAAGAAAGCAGAGCGCCTGGTGTATAATCAGAGTTCCTTAAATAATTTCCTTCTGCTTCCTTTTTAAAATAATGGTGCTAAAGCTTGGGATTTAATCATTAAAACAATCAGTGACAGATGCAAACCATTCAAGTTTCAATCAACTTTTCTGACACTTTGGTATGTAGAATATTTGACATTTCTCCTTTCTTCTTCATGGAAAAAGCACCCCCACATCAGGGAAAATGAAAAATTGGGGGAAAAACACCTATAATCTCATCATCCTAGCACTACAACAGTTTCATTTTTGTCATGGTCTGGCTTTTAATACAAAAAGGCCACATGTTCTGCACAGTCGCAATCAGACTGTGCTTCGCATGGCATCATCTCTTTCAATGTACTAAGAGATTTATTCCAGGTGATAGTGGGAAGCTGCCGAAGAGCAAGAAATGCAAAGCTGCGGAGGTGTTCAAGTTCTCTCACATCGTTCAAACCTTTCTCCTGCACAGAAACTCCACAAAGAGCTCCTCTGCTGTGTTCGTTACCCAGGGCGGTTTCTTTAAATTGTTTGACGTCAGAGAAGGAATGCTATAGCAACAGTCTGTCAAACTGGAATTAACTCAGAAGAAAGATGGGGGTGGGGAGAGGAAAACTGCTCCCGGGCGGTACTGACTTCAGAGGAAGCAAACTGGGTAGTTGCATTCATTTTCTGACATTTTAAACATTAAAAAGAAGAAGAAAGAAAGAAAAAGAAAAGAAAAAGGAAAAGAAAAAAAAAAAAACTCGGTTGAGATGCCTATGATGTTTAACTCATGCAGAGATGAGCGACTCGCCAGGATCATGTGAAAGGCCTGGTTTCACCAGTAACAACTTCCAAGTATTGGTCATTTATTTAGAGGCAGGCTCTGTGCAAACGGCATCTCATTTGATATGTTAGCACCTTTAGGAGGTAGGTATCATCCCTCTTTTGCCTATGACCAAGCTGAGCCCCTGAGACGTACGCAGTCACCGGACCAGCGATGGTAGAGCTGGGATTCCAACGCAATTTAGTGTGACTCTGGGCTCCAGTTTACTTTCTTAAACGTAGAATTCCAGAATGTTAAACCTAAACGGGACGGGGTCTTCTACGTCAGCCCCCCAACCTGCCCACGAGCAAACTGAGGGTTCTGCGGTGCCAGGAAGGAAACCGGCCACAACACTTGGACGCTCTGAAGTGCGCTCTTGCGTCCAGGCGCCACAACGACAAGAAAACGAAACTGCCTGGGAATTAATGTTTTTCTTCTTCTTCTAGCAGGAAACGAGACAGAAAATAGGAAGCAGAAGCTGCGCGCTACGCCCGCCGCCGCCTTCGCCCCCTGTCCCCCCGCCCGGGCGACGCGCGTTCCAGGGTGCGCGCGCGCCCGCGGCGCGTCCCCATCGGGCCCGCGCGCCTCGTGCCTCGCGCCTCGCGCCTCGCGCCTTGAGCCACGTCCCCGCCCCGGCCCCGGCGCGCCGCGGAGTTGGCTGCTGGGCGGCGCGGGACTGGGTGTGGCAGGCGGATCTCGGTGGCGCTCGTAGCGGCGGTGCGCTTCGCTCTGCACACCGGCTCCGCGCTCGAGGAGCTGCTGAGCTCCCCGCGGACTCAGGCAGCGGCCGGTCGACGCGGACCTGAGCTCCCTCCAGGTAGGCGGCGATCGCACGCGCCGCGGCTCGTCGGAGCGCCCAGCGGGGGGATCCCGGGCTTCCCGCAGGGGGCGTGGGGCGCCTCGGGGCCGCCCCGCCGAACCCCGCCGGAACCCCGCCGGGTGGTGGCGTGGGGCTGGCGGGGTCGGGCGAGCTGGGTGGCGGAGCCTGCCCGGGAGGGACGGGACGGGCGCGCCTTGGTCGCGCTGTGCTCCCGCGCGGGGGCCAGCAAGTCGGCCCCCGCCTCCGGCACTTCCTGGGCTCGGACTGCTCGCTCTGGGAAGCGAGGGGGCGGCCTGTAGTCCCTCGGCCTCCACACCCCCAGGTCGCTCCCTACGCCCCGAGGCCTCGCGGGGGGACTCAGAGCGCGAGCTGGTGGTTGCCCTGAAAATAGCGGTTACTCGGGACTGCCCAGAAGGGTTATTGGGTGGAGAGCTCTGGGAAAGCTCATAAAAGTTTTCCGCTGAGTGCTAAAAATGAGTCTAGCGGTTTCGTGTTAAATTTGTTTTGGAAATGATTGTGTCCAGTATTGGGGGTGGGTGGGTAATGGATTATGAATTCTTGTATATTCTGTACATGATAAAATGTTTTTCCTTTTCTTTCCACATTCCTTTTCTGCTTCAAAACACAAATGATTGCCTTCTACTTTGGTATTTATTGCCATACGGTAAGGGAAGACTGAGTTTCCAGAAGTTTAAAAACAGACTTTCATTTGTTTATAGAAACGATGCTTTGTTATTTTGCATCTCTCTCTCGGTCTCTCTCTTCCCTTTTCTCCCACTCCTTCCCTTTCTCTTTTGGTAGAGGATGTGGATCCATCTTTTTCTCTTTTGGCCACTGGCAGAATAGCTCGGCGTGTAGATTAGCACCCTGCTGGGAAGTTTTCTTAAGACAATTGAGATTTAATTGTTGATCAGAACGCTGTATTTTCATTCCTTTTTAGTGTTGCAAACTGAGATTGTGACCCTGGAGTAGAGCTTCTAGAACTTACAGCACACACTGCATATTTAAGATGAAAGGAAAGTCTTTTCTACTCGTGGAGGAAAAGGACGGTTTGGATACATAAAATTGTATGCTTTGAGTTTCTTTGCCATTATACATTTTAAGACTCGTTCGTGTGGGACTTTTGGGTTATTACCGATCTGTGGCTCTGAAAGTTTATTGTGTATTTCAGTATTTGGCTCGAGATCATTTTAAGATTTTCCGTATTGCATTCTGGTTTGTAGATGGATCTGAAACCGAAATAGAAGCTTTTAAAATACTGTTTTATTGAACGTGGCTAACTGTCTTGTGTATACACATTTGTAAAATTATAAAATTGGTTAACATGGCTTGCAGTACATTCAGGTGCATGTCTGTGAGCCATAAGCATTGTTTATGAGGCTATTCTGAGTCATTGGTCTTTGTTAACTTGTAGAATTTCTTCTTTTGTAATTTTCTCCGGCTTTGTTGAGATATAATTGACACATAACATGGTATAAGTTTAAAGTATACAACGTGATGACTTGATATTCATATACATTGAATAATGACCACAGTAAGATTAGTTAACACACTGATCACCTGTGTGTGCCAGTGGCTGTATTTAGCCACTTTCAGGTATAGAATATACAGTGTTGTTAACAATAGTAACCATACTGTATCTTATATCCCCAGACTGTACTCTCTCATAACTGGAGGTTTGTGCTATTTGATCAACATCTCCCTAGAATTGTTTCTTTTAAGTCATTGGTGCTTTAGTATGTCAGCACATATTTTTACACTTTAAAAATAGATCTGGGACATTCTGAAAATTGAGAATTGGAACAAAGTATCGGACATTTTTCTGCCCTTACCAAGTACTGCCTGAGATTGTGTGAGTTCTGGGAGTTTTTAGGGCGTGTTACTAAAGTACACTTTGTTACTAATTCTTTAACTTGCTGACTGGTTTAACCTGCATTTGTTCTGGGAACTAATTATTAGACATTTGTTCTGGGCCAGGGGTGATGCTGTACGTTATTCTATTTATGTCTTACATGAACTTGGCAAAGTAGGCATTATCCAGTTCCCCAGGTGAGGAAACTATGCCCCTGAATTCTTAAATGACTTGCCTGTGGTTGTGTAGCTGTTCAGTCACTAAATTGGGATTCAAGGCCAGACCTCTCTGAACCTGAAGTCCACCTTCTTGCCTCTGTGCCACAGTGATTTTTTTGCCAGGACGTGAGGAATGACCCTCAGTTACTTGTTAGCACATTTGTAAACTTTCCAGGACACGCCAGAGATGTGGATTTGTTTTTCCAGTGTGATTGTTACCACGCGGCTGTGTTAATTGTACAGATCCTTGAGTCAGCCCTTCTCACCTCTCTGTTTCTGGTTCAACACCTGGCTCAGAGTTCAAGACCTCCCTCCTCCCAGGGCAGATTTTCTCCTGTTGACATTAATAGGTAGTGAAAACTTGATTATCCTTCCAAAATAATAATCCCATTTTAATGTGGGTTTTCTAGAGCTATACATACAACTATTTTGGAAGGTTATAAACAACATGGCAGTCTCTTTTTCAGTATGAGAACCCTCAGATAACTCCTCAAATTAAACCAGAAGATATTTCTTTTGAAGAATTTATTTACTGACAGAGAGAGAGCGCAAGCAAGGAAGTGTGTGCGCGCGCGCAAGCATGGGGAGCTGTAGGTAGAGGGAGAGGGAGAAGCAAATTACCTGCTGAGCAAGGAGCCCGAGGCCATACTCTATCCCAGGAACCTGACCTGAGTGGAAGGCAGAGGCTTAACCAACTGAGCCACCCAGAAGCTCCGTGTCTCCCATCTTAAAATTCTTTTCTTGATCTAGTGTTCTGCCCTGTGTCTCTGGCTCCACGTTGAGAAAGCATCATTATTTTTTTTTTTTGAGAAAACATAATTTTTTTTGATAGAATAAAAATAAATACAGGAGAGGATAACCAGAAACTAGTAAGTCACCTACAGGGGGTGGCTAGGAACTTAGTAGAAGGCATAGTGGAGGGAGTGGCACTGCTGTGATTATATCTTTTTGTATAGTTTTGGAAACTTGTTTATGTTTTATATGTTCAAAAATAAAATTAACAAGGTTGAAATAAAAAACCTCCAAAATTGAATACAAACAGCAACAGAGGAACCAACTATGTTTCAATGAATAACATGAACTCTCTGAAGAAAAGAAAAGTCCAAGTAAGTTTTTAATACAGCACTTTAACTATCTACCTTAAATCTAAAGATAGAAAGGACTGCAAAAATAAGAAATCTTGAACCCTGTGTGGTAGAGATACAGCAACTCTTGAACTATTTTGTATGTATCATAGAAATGAGCAAATGAGTAAATTCACTGATATTTTTTGAGGTAGAGTTTTTACTGTGGGAAAAGGGAAATAAAGATGAAATGGAAGAAGGCAGTGAAGCACTCTCTGGTGTTCGATTGGATTTAGAGTTACATTTTCTAGCTCTGTCTGATGGAAAGGTCTAGAAGCAATGACACCCTAGTAGCAGTAAGCCCAAATAGTGCCCAGGTCTAAATGGCTGATTCCAGGGCTGGGGCAGGAATAGCAGAAGATTAGCCTAGAATACAGGGTAAGGAAGAATTCCCAAAAATGGTGGTGGTACATCAAAAAGACATAGGAACTAGCTTGAACAGCCAAATCTGGGAAAATTTGAGTCTCAAAATGAATAATGATAATAATGGGTTATAACCCATTGAATAAAGTAAGAATCCACAAGTTCATAATAAATAAAGGAAAAGGAGAAAGCATTCCCAAGTAGACTGCCAATAAAAATGTAGAAGGAGTAATAGAATTAGAAAAGTGACTGGCTTGCAACCATTATGGTCTTCTTGGTTCACGCCAGCATTACTAATGGAGAAAACTGGATGGGGAGAAGGGTACTAACACAGTTTCCAGTGGTCTCTCCAGAGATTAATGACCAACAGGGAAAAGGAGTACTTCACAGTGAAGAAATCTGACACCATCTCAACCAACTGATCAAAGTTAACATCACCAGTAGTGGGATAAATAGGTTCCTCTTGGGGCCCCTGGGTGGCTCAGTTGGTTAAGCATCTGCCTTCAGCTCAGGTCCTGATCCTGAGGTCATGGGATGGAGCCCCTTGTGTGCTCCCTGCTCAGCGGGAAGTCTGCCTCTTCCTCTCTCCCCTGATAGAGCTTGCTCATGCTCTCTCTCTCTCTCCCTCTCAACTAAATAAACAAAATCTTAAAACAGGTTCCTTTTGATGTGCTTGAACTGGGGGCATCATTACTTCTCTGTGGTTTTTCTAAACTGCGTAACCAAAATCTACATAGAGGAAACAATTGAGGGACCTTAATTGAGGGCATTTAGGTGGCTCAGTCGTTAAGCATCTGCTTTCAGCTCAGGTCATGATCCCAGGGTCCTGGAATGGAGTACCCTGTTGGGCTCCCTGCCCAGGGCGGGTACTCTGCTTCTCCCTTTCTCTGCCCCTCTCCCCTGCTTGTTTGCATGCACGGGGGCATGTGCTCATGTGTTTTCTCGCTTGCTCTCTCATGCATGCTCGCTCTCTCTCTCAAATAAATAAAATCTTTTAAAAAATGCTAAAAATTAAATAAAGGAAGTTTAAGAGCTCTGACAAAGTGCAATGCATAATCCTGGATTGGATCTTGGATCAGAAAATCTAACTGACCTAATACCATTATCAGGACATTGGCAGAATTTGAGTATGTAATGAATATTAAATAATAGTATTGCATCAATATTAAGTTTCCTGAATTTGGTCATTGTACCGTGGATGTATAAGACAATGTCCTTGTTCTTAGAAAGATACACAGTGAATTATTAGAAGTAAATGGTCAATATCTTCAACTTACTCTCAAATGGACAAGCAATAATTAGAATGAAAAGAGAATGATAAAGCAAATGTAGCAAACATTAACAATTAGTGAATAAGTGAAAGGTCTAAGAGTATTTATTCACCGTACTGCTTTTTTCTTTTTTTATACTACTTTTTTCAACTATAAGTTTGAAATTTAA